ATATTTTAAGTTTTATATTTTATTTTTTTAGTTTTAGTTTTTTATTATTCATTTTATTATTTCATTGAGTAATTTATTTATTAAATATTTTGTAAAAATTCTTTCTATTATTTTTTTTTGGAAAATAATAAAAAATAAATAAAATCTTTTCAAATAAATTCATGAATCTTATCAAATTATTGAAGAATTTTCATAGATTTAAATTTTATGGAATTTGCCAAATTATTAGAAATTTCATAAATAAATTTCAAAAAATAAAAAATAATTTTTACCCATCAAACTATTAGATAATTGTTTCTTAAATTAAGTCTTACTAAACTATTAGAAGATTTAATGAACTTTCTCAAAAGAATAAAATCTTTATAAATATTTTCAAATAAAATCTCATCAAACTATTAGGAGATTTATCTCAAAGTAAGTCCTACCAAACTATTGAAAGACTTTACTAATTTTTTTGAATAAAATACTATAATAAATTCGATGAATGAGGTTCTTTAGGGTAGTCTTTATGAATACTCATAAGGTGAGAGAATTATCTTAAATTGTTACCAAACATTGGGGTAATTTTAAGACTAATTTTCAATATTAAATATTTTGGTAAATGGCAAACATGTTTAAGGCTTGGATAATTTAAAATCAAACTAGTACCATCTTTTGATGGGCGTTATGTGGGTGTTATAACTTTTTTCACACATAATCGTACTATTGAACTTAAAATCTGATTTTGTGGATCAGAATTTACTATTTAAAGATACCTAAGTCAATCTTGGGACTTTTATTTAAATAGGACAAATTCAATCAGGTGGCTAATCACACTTTAACAAAAAGATTAGTGACAACTCCTTTTAATCTATGTCTAGCGATAGGTCCATGGATCTATATGTTATGACAATTTGGTGATCTACTGGGGACATCGAAAGTCGGGCCAATAAATGATTTTTATTATCTAAGCCTTAATAAATTTGTGTTTGTTTTCTTTCTCTTATGTTTCTTTTTTTTCATTGCTTATATTCTATTTAGTTATTCATTTATATATATTTATCATTCATTTGCATGTGCATAACATAAACTCTCCACCTGAGCTCTACCCTCGAAGGGAGTAAAGTACCTATGCCCTCGTGAGATTTCATATCTCCACATAGGTCTGTGAAACACTCCCGCTCCAATTAAACCCCTTTCCGCTTGTAGCCTATGATAGGCAATGATCGGGGCTGCCTTACTAGCTGTAATGGACAATGATGTAAAAAATAATTTAAGAATCTTTTAGAAGTAATCCAAACCGTATATAGTTAACTTTAAGAGCTTAACCATAGGTAGAGCCATGTCCTTCCACCCTTTATAGTTAACCTAAAATCTAAGGTCATGCTATTAGTTTACTTGCTTTGTAATGTTTATTCTGTTAAAATGACTAACTAATTTTCTTTCTTGTTTATTTCTTTTCTTCTTATGCACATTCATAAACATACATGCATTGCATTACATTCATTCATGACTATTTATTCGTCATGTCAAATCACGTCAATATCATTTATTTTAGATTATGGTACTAAGGTACAAGAAGAGCTCAACATCCATACAACACCTGAGGTAAAGCCAAAAATATGGAGTAAGATAATGCTAGCCGTGTTGAGAAATTAAAAAAGGCCTAAGAAAAGCTTAAATAAGAGTTGAGCAAAATTTTAGAAAAACTAAGTAAGCTGAACAAAGGGAAGACTTGGGACAATCAAGAGAAAGCTCATATTAATCCTATCCCCATAACTTATACTGAGTCATTTCTAGAATTGGTCAAGGATGACCTAGTATCCCTAATCTTTTTGAAACCATTGAAACCACCATATCCTAAATGGTACAATGTTAATGCCACATGTGACTACCATAATGGGAATATGGGTCACTCCATAGAAACCTACCATATTTTCAAGCATAAGGTATAAATTTTGATTTGAGCAGGCTTGATGAACTTCAATGAATCAGGGTGCTGAATATCCATAAAGGCCCATTTGCCTAATCACCTAAGGGCATGATTTTGGGAAGGCTGATTGAAATTGATTATCATCTTAGGATTTTTTAAAAATATAGATCTCTTTTATGTACTTGAATTTTATTTTATTTTTCATCATTTTAATAAAGTGATAGATTTGATGCATTTTCATGACGTTCTTCTTTTATGTAAATCACCATTATCTACTTTTACCTTATCATACTTTTTGGCCATATCCATTCTTTGATTCTTAATAATGAATGTTTAGATAGTCATAATGATAATTCAAAATTCAATTTTAAAACATCATTCATGATGATCTGATTAATAGATGAAGATTATTGATTCATTAGGACTGTTGAATAAAAGAAGATAAATCGAGTGAAGAGTTTTGAAAGTGATGTAACACATGATATTTACAATTGTTCATTCACAAGTTTGCTCTTAGTCAATGAATGTCCTTCATTAAGAGTACTAATGTTCGAGATGAGAAACTGGAATCTTTCTTTTATCCTTAAAAAAAAGAGTAAAATTATTCTTTGCTACCCCATTTGAGTTTATTAAAAATTTTTTTTGAGGAACCTTAACCAAAGATCACCCCCACATTGGGGGTAAAATCGAGAAGTGCATTTATCTTTAATAATTTCAAGGGTAAAACCCTTTTGTGCTCAAGTTTTTCTTGAAAAATAAAAAAAAAAAAAGGAAGAAAAATGAAAGAAAAAATTGATGGGGTAAAATACCAGTATGCCCCATAGAGAAAAAATGATTCTTGGTTTGATAACCCTTTAAATACAATTTGGGCATGTTTTATCTATTTCTTTGGCAACCCCTCACCTTAGCCTATGTTACATCCCTTAAAAGTCTATTTTGATCGAATATGAGTACTTAAATTAAAGAATTATGAATTGAATTAAAGTAGATTCGCCATTGGATTATTCGAGAATTTGAACAAAGTGTCATTGATGGACAAAAGGATTGAGAAAAAGGTGTATGAAAAAAAAGAGAAAAATTTAAAAAAAAAACAAAAAAAGAGAAAAATGGAGACTTAAACTAAAAACTCGAAAGGGTGATTTAAGTAAAAATGAAAACTTAAAAAAAATAACTTCATATGAAGGTCCTAAAAATGAGGATAATGAATAGCTCGAAGACCAAAAACATTGATGTAATATGTTTTTGAACGAAAATTTTGAGTTTTGAAATTATCTGAACAATCATTATTTAGGGATGTTGATATCCCCTTTGAATAGTTAAAGTATTTTGCCTTTGCTCACCTTTGACTTGTTATTAACCATATTTCTCTTCAAAAATAAAAGTCCATTTTTCTTATCCTGTGCCAAATATACATCCCCTGAATGAATCAAGGAAGCGTATCATGTCTGTCACCAATTTAAATAATGGTAAATAAATGAATGACAATGTTCATAAAGAGGTTTCCATTCTTTTGAAAGAAATCCAAGATAAGATAAGTGAAAGAAGCCTGAGAAAATGCTTTTAAAAAGGGCAAACAAAGTGACCTAGTAATGAATTTAGTGATAGATTGGTTAACATGACCTGTGAATTATAACCAGAGGAAGAGAATAACATGGATCAATTGGCAGAACTTGTTATGAGATTATTTATATTGAGAAGCTAAGAAGGAATGATGGAGTCTTAAGAATCTTGTTACCATAATTGAGACTTCATGACGTTGATTTAATGACATTTGCATTACAAACATTGTGTTTACATTATATCTACATTTGTATCCTAGATAGGATATGCATTTGCATTATTGCATCATCATTTATCACTCATTTTCGATCTCGGCTCAATCCAAATAATTTTTAAGACTTGTGATTTTGTCACAATTATTCGATCTTGTCTCAATCCAGATCATTTTTTTTATTTATGATTTTATCTCTGTCATCCGATCTTGGTTTAATCTAGATCGTTTTTTTAACTTGTGACTTAATTTCGATCATCTGATCTTGGCTTAGTCTCGATCATTTTTTTTTACTTGTGGCTTAGTCTCGATCATTAGATCTTGGCTCAATTCAGATCATTTTTCTGACTCGTGATTTAATCTTGATCACCTGTTTTGATTTCGACTCAGTCTAGATCATTTTATTTTTTTGACTTGCAATTCAATCTTGGTCACTCATTTTGATCTTAGCTCGGTTCAGATTATTTTTTTAACCTGTGCAAAACTTGAATTCTTGTGAATCTTTCATTCTTGTGAATCTCAAACTCATTGCGAACTTGAAATCTTTGCGAATCTAGAACTTCTGCTAAAATTGAAATCATGCAAATCTTTCTTTCTTCTTATGAATCTAAAAGTCCTTGAGAACTTGAAATCTTTGTGAATCTAGAACTTCTATGAAACTTGAAATCTTGCGAATCTTCCATTCTTGCAAATCTTAATTTTTTTTTTTATTTTGTTAAACTTGGAATATTGGAATCTTTCAACTTCTGTTATGGAACTTTACAAATTTTTGAATGTCCAAATTGTGAATCTTTAGATTTAGAGATGAAAATTTAAAATATATATTTTTAACATGCGGTTCAATCTCGATCACTCATTTTGATCTCAATTCAATCTAGATCATTTTGTTTTTTTAACTCATGGTTCAATCTCGGTCACCCGTTTTAATCTTGGTCAGTGCATATCATTTTATTTCTTATTTTGCAATTCAGTCTCTATCATTTTCCTATTTTGGTATATTTCGATCACTTTTTAAATATTAGCTTTTGGACCTGAACAAAATGGATATCTTTTATCTTTGCACAATATCTGTTTCATAAAAAATACATAAAGAGGGGTAACTGTAGACATCTTATTTTATTTGAGAATTTTTTCAGAATTAAAATTTGATTAAAATGATGTTGAGAGATTTTTGAGATTTAATTTCAAAATCAACTGGTATTAAAAATGATAAAAAATTTTTTTTAAGATTTAATTTCAAAATCAATTTTTATTAAAATAAAAATTAAACAAAATCATAGATTTAAAAAAAATTTGATAAAGTATGAATTCACGAGATCCAAAGGGGGGAAAAGATCCTAAGTGCCCCCTAGCCAGCTGAAACCTCTCTCCTCGTCACAACTTATGACAGCCTCCAATGCACGCATGTCAGAAGCTTCAATCTCCCTGGTGAGACGATAGATATCCATTTGCTGTGGAATTGTCAATCTCCCCCGTGAAATGATAGATATCCATGTGGAATTGGAAATTCATGCAAATCTATTGCAGCAACTAGCGTAGATTTCCCGCAACCATCTAATCCAAGCAAGCCATAGTGGCTGCCATAATTAAGCTTCCATACTGAATCAGCAATGAGATCATGTCCACGAAAAGTCATTGATAAGGACACTATATGAATATCTCTCGAAAGAGGGTACGAGCAGAGAACGCTAGTACGGGTCTGATAAAAAATTAGGAATGCACTAACTCCATCGAAACCCCTGTCCACTCCATTCTCTGTGGCCGCCCCATTGGAAGATGCAGCAGCCACAGTCGTCTTCACTCCTCTTTTCGTGACGGAAGCAGCTTTCTTCTGCACTGCTTTTTTCTTGCTCGTGTCCAACACCATCTTCAATTCTAAGGGAAGATTGAAGAAATTAAAAATGGATCTAGGGTGTAGAGGTACGGATTTTGGTGCTACAGTATGATACTGGAGAGAACACGGGGTAAACTGTGTTCTGCATTTGTGTATGAATTCCAATTGTTCAAGCTATACTTTGGCAAAGTTTCTAACTGATGGTGACCCACGAATGTGGAAGCAATGGTGGACTGGCTTGGTGGTTAAGGTTTTAGATTGGTAAGGGGGGGCCTCGAATCAAAAGCATAGCCAAGTGATTCCCAACACCAACATAAACGGTGCCACCAAAAAGAGAAAAGCTTGAAAGTTCTTATTAGTAAAGCCAACGGAGACTAAGGGTGATCACCAGCGATTAAAAGTGGTTCTGATAGCAGCGAAGCTTGGGTTCAGGTTTAGATTTAGGAAACCATTGAAACAAAAGGTTGTCTTGGGATTTCTGGTTGCTGGTTCCCAAAAGGCTAGAGGAAAAGGAAGAGCTTTAGTGAAGAAAAGAGGGAAAGAAAATCGCAGAGGAGTTTTTTTGGTGTTGGCTAAGACGGTGTTCGGCTGTAGAAGCGAGAATGGAATGCTGGGTTTTGGATTAGTTTGGGTGTTCTTGAAAAATCTATAAAGCTTTAGAGAGAAGAAGAATTAGAAAGCACAAGAGAAAAGGCTGCTTATCGGCTCAACCGTGAAGAATGAAGGATCCGCATGAAAGCTATACCCGACCCGTTTACCCGACGTTCATTTGGCAAATTTTATTTATGACTTTATTCTTTACCATTTTATATTTTAAGTTTTATATTTTATTTTATTTTATTTTTAGTTTTTTATTATTCATTTTATTATTTCATTGAGTAATCTATTATTTATTAAATATTTTGTAAGTTTCTTTCTATTATTTCATTTTCTGAAAACAATAAAAATATAACAAAAAAAGTATTTTCAAATAAATTCATGAATCTTACCAAACTATTGAAGAATTTTTACGAATTTAAATTTTATGGAATCTGACATATTATTAAGAAATTTCATAAATAAATTTCAAAAAATAAAAAATAATTTTTATCCTCTAAACTATTAGAGAATTGTTTCTTAAATTAAGTCTTATTAAACTATTGAAAGATTTAATAAACTTTCTCAAAAGAATAAAATCTTTGTAAGTATTTTCAAATAAATTTCATGAAACTATTGGGAGATCTGTCTTAAAGTAAGTTATACCAGAGTATTGAGAGACTTTATTAATTTTTTTGAATAAAATACTATAATAAATCTGATGAAAAAGCCTTTTTAAGTTGTGACACTAATCTCTATGAATACTCTTAAGATAAGAGAATTATCTTAAATTACTACCAAACTATTGGGGTAATTTTAAGATTAATTTTCAATAATAAATATTTTGGTAAATGACAAATATGTTTAAGACTTGGATAATTTGAAATCAAACTGGTACCATCTTTTGATGAGTATTGTGAGGGTACTATAACTTTCCTCACACATAACCATACTTTCGAACTTAAAATCTAGTTTCATGGATTGAAATCTACTATTTAAAGATATCTAAGTCAATCTTGAAACTCCTATTTAAATAAGATAGATTCAATTAAGTGATCAATCACACCTAAACATAAAAGATTGGTGGTGACTTTTTTTAATTTATGTCTAGCAATAGGTACACAGATCTTTATGTTATGACATCATTTTTTTCTTTATTACCTATAGGCATTCCTATTGAATTTCATATAAATCCCTAAAACATAAGACCTTATTGCCCTCATTGTCATTTAATCATACCCTAAGCTGCCCCAATTCAATATATGATTCTTTAATTTTAGAATTCATGTTTAATCAAAATGAACTTTTAAAGCACATAATTTAGGCTATGGTGAAGGGTTATAAAAAAAAGATAACATAGGCCAAAAAATGTGTTTAAAAGAATGTAAACCCAAAGGATCATTTTTCATTATTTAAAGCACCTTGGAATTTTGCCCCATTCTTTATCAAATGCCTTCATATTTTCTTTCTTTTTCATTTTTCCTTTCATCTCACCTTTTCTTTTCAATTTTTCTTTTCAAGAAAGAAGATTGACGCACAAGAGATTTTTTTCCTTCTTTTTCTTATTTTTTCATTTTTCCCTAGTAATCATTTGTGACTCACTTTTCTTTTTTTTTGCAAATAGATTTTTTCTTAACTTTGCTCGTCAATATAGAAGGTTATTTTTGGTGGGTTTCTTTCAAAGAAATTATAATAGGCTAAAAAAGGGTAATAATTGGATAGTTTTACTTATTATGAAAGGTAAAAGAAAAGATGATAATTTCTCATTTCAAGCATGAATACTTTTTTGGAAAACTTATATCCAATGAAAGCAAGCTTTTGGATATAAGGGATCACGTTCTTTTAAAATGGCTTTATTCCTACTTTCAGCATGTCAACTTTAATTCACTTTAATAGATTAGGATTCCAAATAATCATCTCATTAGTATGAATGAAATTTCCAAGATTGAACCCCAAATTATTGTTATAATTATTTGAACATTCATAACTTGGAATGTGAAAATTAGTGAAATATGAGGGGATATATATAAAAGTAGGGATAAAAATAAGAATATGTAATGGAATGCATTTATCATTTTATTGAAATGTGAGGTAAATACAAGATAAAAACATAAAAAACTGCCCTTATAGTTCATTGCTTCTAAAAAAAAAAACTTTAAAAGCATCTCTTCAAAATCATGCCCATGTATCATTAAGCAAAGAAACTTCAATAACATTAGGTCTTCTTTATTGCCAAACTTGATCAACCTTTTATTAATGAGACCTTGTACTTGTGTTCAATGTAGCACAATTCTCTATTAAATGACCTGTGATCCATAATGGTAGTCACATTGTGCATTAGCGTCACACCATTTTAGGTAGGGTGGTTTCATTAGCTCAACACAAACAAGGACCACCAAATGATTCTCCACTAGATGTGGTAGCAAATCTGTGTATGTCATAGGATGGGATCAAAGAGGCCTTCTCTTTATTATTTCATGAACCCCTCAAATTACTTATCTGATGATGAGGTTTTGAGGTAAACTTTATAATAGATGCGGTGGTGGGATTGTATGTATGAGTTAATGGAAAAGTATATAGATAAGCAGATAGTAGTATAGGTTGATAAAGGGCAAGGTGCTACATTATTTACGAACGGATAATGGATTGGATACATTGATGGAAGGTATTGGGGAAAACCTCTAAATTGTTGATTATCATAGCTTATAGCTTGAGCATCATTCTTTTTCTTCTTCAATGTTTCACTTTTTTTCATGCTAGTTGACTCTCCTCCTCCTAGCATGCCATTTTTTATGGTATTTTCAATTATCTCACCAAAGATTACCATGTTAGCAAAGTTATTGGTAGCATTTCTTATCATTTTCTCTCAGTAAGGAGCTTTAAGGGTATTAACAAACAAGACGATAGTTTCCTTTTTAGTAAGAGATGGTTGACCCTGAGTAGTCATATCTTTCTACATCTGTACATGTTCTTTGAAAGATTTTATGGCCTTTTTCTCCATGCTTTACAAAGAAAAGAGGTCTGAAGCCAAGTCTACGATGTGTCGATATTGGTTGATGAATGCCCTTACCAAATCTTTCCATGAAGTAATGTGAGTTCTGTCTAATTGGATGTACCATCTAACCATAGGACTAATAAGGTTATCTTAGAATATGTTCATCAACAATTTCTTGTCACTTGTATAAATGGCCATCTTTGGATGGAATATAGTGACATGAATCACTGGACACTTAGTACTATCATATTTTTCAAATTTGAGGCTTTGAACTTTGGTGGGATAATTACATCAAGAATCAAACAAAGTCTAGTCACATCCATGGAGCCATAAAAGTCAATTCCCTCCATGGCTTGTAACCTCTCTTCAAGTAGAGTCATTTTTTGTTTTGACTATGAACCTTTTAAAGACTCGACTACCTTTAGTTTTAGTTTTTTTTTTCCTTTGGATCATCTAAGTTAGGGACTTAGATTCACTTCACTATTTTTTTTATAAAGATAGGGTTACCATAACTCTGAAAGTGCCCTTGAATTAATACGAAAGGCATTTTAGGGTAGGTATATCTTGCCAAAAATAAGAATTGCTATGAAAGAATGTCTTGGGTAGACTAGGCCTAATATAAGGCATACTCAAGAAGGTGCAAAGGATCGACAACATCTTGTGATGGATGATCTTGTGGACTAGGTGAATCTTTTTTTTATAGTTTTGCCTTTATTCATCTTGTTTAGCATCTCTAGTATCTTGTTAAGTTCCCATTTTCGCTCTTTTAAGGCCTTCTCCATTTTTTCAAAGTGACTTGCATTCTCTTGCTCCATTCTTCTGACTTGAGCTCGGGTATTATTTTAATGATAAAGAGGTTGAATCAGATTTTGGTACGATCGAGCTATCATTGAACCTTGTGTGCCACAATTAGCATGCACATATTTTTAAGTGTTTTTGCCAAAATTTTCAAGATTAACCTAACTTATTCAAGAATCCTATATTGAAGAATGAATGAATGCATTGAATGCTTAACCTAATAAATTATGATACATAAACACATGAATGTATGCACAATAATGTATGAATGGATAAATGAATGCATGTACTAATGTTTGTCATATTATGATGCATGGATGAATGCATATGTTAACAACTTAACAATAAATAAGAGATTAAACAAAATTTTTCATAAAATTGATATAAATGAAGCTGAAAAAGTTCACCCATATGTCTTAACTAAGGTTAAATTATAATAATGGGTAGACATGGCTCTAACCTAAGGTTGGCTTCTTGTATTTTTCTACATGTGGTTTGGGTTCACAATCTAGAGGTTCTCAAATTGTTCCTTACATTTTTGTCTATCACAAACTAGTAAGGCACTCTAATTTTTTTACTATCATAGGCTACAAGTGAAAAGGATTTAATTTGAATAGGAGTATTTTACTAGTTTATACGAAGATATGAAATCTCATGAAAGCGTAGGTACTTTACTCCCTCTTAAGAGATGGAGCTTGGGTGTAGAGCTTATGTTATGCATGCACATGAATAATAGAGTATTAAAAGCTTGACAAATAAATCAAGAAAAAAATCTTTTTAAGGAAAACATTAGGCTTGGATAACACAAATTCATTTACACGTCTGAATCTCGATATATCCCCAGTAGAGTCACCAAATTGCCATAACATGTAGACCTATTGTTAGACATTGACTTAAGGAGTCACCACCAATCTTTTTTGTATAGGTACAATTGACCACCTAACTGAATCTATCACATTTTAAGAAAATATCTCAAGCTTCACTTAGGTATCTTTAAAAAATAGATTCTAGTCTACGAAATCAGAAATAGGTTTGAGAATACGGTTACATGTTAGAAAGGTTATAACACCTTCATAATACCTATCGAAGGATAGTACTAGTTTGATTTTGTGTTATCCAAGCCTCAAAACATGTGTGTTTTTACCAAATAATTTAATTATTAGAAATTGATCTTAAAGTTACTCTAATCATTTGATAGCAATTTAAGATAATTTTCTCACCTCGAAAGTATTCATGGGGACTTGTGTCTCTCTTTACAAAGGCTCTATTATTGGATTCATTAACATATT